CTTTATTAAAGTCCATCTGTTTGACAGTTCTTAGTCATTTGTACGTGTAATCTTTCAGTGAAAGCTACAGACTCTCCGTGGGGAAGGGATGCACACGCAGAATGCTGCAGATTAAAGGGGCCCATGGCCCTGCATGCTAAACTCCTGGGGAGTCGAGGTAGTCTGGGGAGAAGTGACTTCCGAGGGCACCCCTCTTTCTCACTGGGGAGGAGGCACTACTGGGTAACTGGGCTTTCCTTCCCAGGGCGTCTTGGGAGATGCGGAACCAGTCACTCCCTTTAAGCTGCCCGTGCGGCCTTAGAGGCGTGTCTCTTGGCTGCCAAAAGGGGGGTAGCTTTCCTGTGGACCCAGGGAACGGAGGCCCCCACCCCTGGGCCCTGGGGGAGCCTCTTTGGTGCAGGAGCTCCACCACCTGAAGGAGGTGGCCGGCGCCCCTCTTGTTTTCTTAGTTGACCGGATCATTGCTGCATGGGGATGTGCTGTGTGTGTTGGGGGTGGAGGGTGGGGTGGTACTGCTTCTGGGACCCCCTGCACCCTACTAAGGGCCGCCTAGGTTCCAACCAGGAGCAGCTGAGGAATGGGGAAAACATCTTTTGTCCGACATCCACATCCTAAACCCCCCTTCGGCCAGGACTGCTCCCCAATTCTGAGGACTCTGCTTCCTCCCAGAGCTGGGGGACAGCCCCTGTGCTCCTTTGGTCAGTTTCTAGCGCCACCTGGTGGCCAATTCTCTAGTGGCAATGGGGTCTTCATCTGGCCACAGAGGGTTCTCAGCTCCGGCTGCGCGTGTAGCATTTCACGTTACTGATACCTGGAAGTCACCTCTGACCAATTAAACCATCCTCTGGTGTGTGTGGGGGGGGTTGGGGGGGCAGAAGCAGTGTTTTTAGAGCTCTCCAGGTGACACCTACCTGAACCCAGGTTGCGAAGCACTGCAGCACGGATAGCTGGTACCCTCGTCCTTTGCCAAACAGCAAAGAATGGTGGGCGGGGAGGAGAATCCCAGACGCTTTCTGCAGAGACGCTTCGCTGCCTTGTGTGCACCCGCTCAGGCGCTCTGAACACCCAGAGGCATGTAGGTCGGCGAGTCATAGCCATGACCATGCAGAATGTCCTAAGTAAAGAATGGGTCTGTGATTGGGCCTTTCTGTGAGTGTCTGCGGACATTTCCTTGGGGCCACAGGTATCCTATAGGCATTTGCTGATTTTGTGTCTCATCTCAGTGATAGTGTTCAGAAGGCAGCAGAGACGCCCCTCGCATTACCGGAGGGCGGTCGACGGCTCTCTCTCCCAAGGTTTTGGTGTCCAAGGTCGTTTTGCACCTTAGTGATGCCGGCAGAACCACTTCCATTGTTATGGGCTAATTAGCAGAGGGTGAAAGGGCTTAGCTGGTGAAGGATGTGTTTGAACCAGGCAAAAGCTCAGAGAACATTCCAGGACATTTCACAAATGAAGGTTTTATAGCAGCTCGAATTAAGAAAGGGCTTAGGAGAACTGAGTCATCTCTTCATGTTTGCAGAACAACACGGAGGTTATTCCGAACTCGTGGCATCTGCCCCCACGCAGTCCCACACACATTCACATTGTGAGCGGTGTTTGGGGAGGGGCGGGCAAGGAGGAGTCGTTGCCATTTGGGCAAGAAATAACGTCTCCATTCCTAACCATGGCAGGCGAAACCCTGTGGCCTGCTCCTGCCTGCCTTCTAACCTCCTCTCTCCACCTCACTCCACTGGCTTTCCTCCAGCCACACTCCGCTTTGGTTTTCGAACGTGCACGCTGGTTCCCACCTCAGGGGCTTTGCACTCGCTGCTTGCTCTGCCTGGAGCTCTGTTCCCCCAGATGTTTGCATGGTTTGCTCTCTGAGTTCGTTCAGACCTCAGCTCTCACTCAGAGAGGCTTCCCTGACCAGCCTAACTGAAGCAGGGCCTCTGCCTAGTCCTTTCCCCGCTTCTGTATCCTCTGTGGCACTTTTCACTGTTTGCAAGGTATCCCTTAGTATTTGTTTCCTTGTTTATTGTTGGTGAAGCCCATCCGCCGTAAGTCCTTGAAGGCAGAGGCCGTATCTAGCATTGACTACAGTGCCCTCATTCTCCGGCACAGTCCCCAGCACACAGATGTGACTTAATAAATATTACTTTTTTAAACCCTCTTTTATTTTGAAATAATTTTAATTCTAAAAAACACAACCAAGAGTTTAGATATACTTTCGCTCTGCTTACTCTAATGTCAGAATCATTGATAACCATAGTACAATGGTCCAAAAAGGAATTAACATTGATATGATACAAATGACTAATCTACTGATCTTAACAGAACTTCAACTGACCCATTAATGTCCTTTTTTTCTGGTGGAAGTTTCGGTCCAAGGGCTCCATCCTTTGCCTTTAGTTGTCATGTCTCCGTAGGTTCTTCCGACCTGGGACAGCTCCCAGCCTTTCATGCCCGTGACCCTGTAGAAGAGTACCGGCCAGTTATTTTGTGGATGTCCCCCACTTCACGTTGGTTTGATATTTTTCCTGATTAGACTGCGGTTATGCATCTGGGTAGGAATACCACGGAGGTGAGGCTGTGCTCTCAGCGCAGGAGGCCAGGAGGCAGAGTCTGTAAGTCTCATCACGGGGGTGTTGGATTGGATCGCTTGGCTAAGGTGCTGTCTGCCAGGTTTCTCTGCTGTGGAGCTATGATTTTTTTCTCTTTGTAATTAAAAAAATCTTGTAAGGAAATACACTGAGACTATGCAGATATTCTATTTCTCATCATACTTTGGCTCACTAATTTAGCATTCCTTGATGATCCTTGCTCTGCGATGATTACTGTGGTGTTTGGCAAGTGGTGCTTTTCTATTTCTTTTTTTAAAAAAAACACATATTTTTATTGATTTCAGAGAGGAAGGGAGAGGAAGAGAGAGATAGAAACATCAATGATGAGAGAGAATCATTGATCGGCTGCCTCCTCCACCCCCACCCCCACTGGGGATCGAGCCTGCAACCTGGTATGTGCTCTTGACCAGAATCGAACCTGGGACCCCCCAGTCCACAGGCCCATGCTCTATCCACTGAGCCAAACCAGCTAGAGTGCTGCTTTTCCATTTCTAACTTACTCATTGGAATTCTAATGTAAAGAAGAATTGTTCCGTCTTCCCCATTTAGTTATTTAATAGGTTATTTATATCACTATGGATTCCTGGGCATCATTTTATTCTGAGTTATAATCTATTAATATCATGGTTGATTTTGTTGTTCAAATTGTCTCATGTTTGGCAACTGAGAGCTCCTTCAGATTGGCTCCTGTGGGCATCTATCTCCCTACCCTCCCCCGCCCCCAGAAAATATGTACTTTCTGGAACCAGGGTCATCTTGTACTTTCCCTGTGTCCGCTCTGGGACCGGCCAGTTCTCCAAGGAGCCCTGGCTTCTTCTACTGGAGCTCAGTGCTTGGAAACGAAGATCTGGGTAGTAGATGAGCTGGGTAGTAGATGTTACTGCAGCATCGCTGCTTCTGTGCCCTCTAGTGGACAGAGCTCAGAAATACATGTAGATATAGCCGACAACCTATTTCTTCCTCTCTCTTAAAAAAATCATGAATTAGCCCTAGCTGGTTTGTTGGCTCAGTGGATAGAGCATTGGCCTGTGGACTGGAGCCAGGGTTGTGGGCTCGATGCCCAGTAGAGGGCATACAGGAGGCAGCCAATCAATAATCCTCTCTCATCATTGATGTTTCTGTCTCTCCCTCCCCCTTCCTCTCTGAAATCAATATATATATATATCCATGAATTTATACTGATACCTCTGGTACCAATTCAATACCACAGTGTTTATTTTAACTTTCCCCTTTTTCTTATTTTTAACTCCTTTCTTCAAAAGTATGAAACCTGGCCCTCATTACCCACATGTATTTACTTATTTGCTCAATCCCCATATATACATTGTATTATTTCTTAAGGTCACTGCAACAGATTACCACAAACCGGGTGGCTTAACACAGTGGAACGGTATTTCTTCACAGTTCTAGAGAGCAGTAGTTCAAAATCCAGGTGTCAGCAGGGCTGGTTCCTGTGGAGGCTCTGAGGGAAAATCCGTTTCCTGCCTCTCCTGACTTCTGGTGGCTGCCAAGCCCCTGGTGGCCCTCCGCGTGGACCTGCATGACTCCAATCACTGCCTCCTCCTCCCTGGGCGTCTCTGGCTGTCAGATCTCTCCTGCTTCTTATAAGGACACCAGCCATGGATTTAGGGCCCATTCTCATCGCAAGATCTTTTACTTACTTATACCCGCAAAGACTATTTCCAAATAAGGTCACATTCATGGGTATTGAGGGGGGGGTAGGACTGGGGTATATCTTTTTGGGGGACACTATTCAATCCATTATGCACATAAAGTAGTCTTCAAATTGCTAACCTATTCTCTCCTGGAGAGCAGATTAATGAGATGTGTGTACAGTTTGTTGCTTTGTCTTTAGTCTTACCACGTGTATCAAAACAATGTTCCCCAAAGCTACTTGGATTAGGTCTTTTCTTCCACACCTCTTTGGCGTAGCTGGCTCTGTTATTTGTTTTTAATATAGGTAAGTTCACTTATTACTATTTTTATTCCACTTGGGGCTTCCTCACTTCCTGGTTGCGTTTAATTAAAATTTTTAAATATGTAAAATATTACCATGTTTTTAAGACTCAGAACGATTCAAACAGATACACTCAGAGAAGTGGCACCGTCATTCCTCCTACCCATTCCCCTTCCCTCTTCCTACCACCCGGTCCCAACCTCCCTGTGAGGTAACCTTCCTCACTAGTTACTAGGTCCTCCTTCCTCAATTTCTTTTTGCACAATGAGCAGATACATATGCATTTTCTCTCTTAAATTTTTAAAATTTATTGATTTATATTTGAGAGAAAGAGAGAGAGAGAGAGAGAGAGAGAGAGAGAGAGATCCGTTGTGCCACCCATTCAGCACTCCTTATTTGAGTCCTGCATGCGCCCCGACCGGGACCAAACCTGTAACCTAGGTGCATCGGGATAAGGCTCCAACCACTGAACTACCCAGCCAGGGCCCATGTATATTTTCTTAACCCCCTACTTTTTTACATGAAAAATAGATATCCTTTTGCATTTTTCTTTTTTTTCACTTAATATCTCTTGGGAATCAATTTGTCTCAGTTTCCCCCCGTTTAATTAGAGCTGCACGCTGCTCCATCATACCGTCATGCCGTGGTCTAGACAGGCACTCTCCTAGCTGCAGGCATTTAGGTGCTTTCCAGAGTTCTGCAACGACAAACAATTCTGCGATGAATAACTGCGCGCGTATATTTTGTTTTGTTGGAGGTATATCCTCAGAGTAAATCCCTGGAAGTAGGTTTCTGGGTCAAACGGTACAGTTTTGCCAGGTAACGTATTAATTTACCACAGCTGGGGTAACGAATGACCACACATGGATGGCTTAAAACGGTACGGATTTCTTGTCTTACGGCTCTGGAGGCTAGAAGTCTGAAATGGTTTCCCAAATGCAGGCCTTGTCAGGGCACGCTCCCCCCAGGGCTCTGGGACAGATTCTGTTTCCTTGCCTTTTCCAGTGTCTAGAGCCACAATGATGGCATTTTTTTTTTTTTTACATTCCTGCCGCACAATATCAAAACCAGGAAGCGGACGTTGGTGCAATGTGCACAGTCTACGTCATTTCCTTACGTGTAGGTTTGTGTGACCACCACCATAATCAAGACAGAGCTGTTCGTCACCACGAAGATCCCTCACGTGCTACCCTTTCATCGTCCCCCACACCACCCTTTCCCCCTCTACCCCAACCCCTCGGGACCACTCGTCGCTTGTCCATCTCCATGGTTTTGTCATTTTGAGAATGTTCCATAGATCAAATCATACATGTGTGCTATTTAAGATTGAAGTTTAATTCATTGAATTAAACAAGTTCAGTTCCTCAGTCATACCAGCCACCTCCCTAGTGCTGAGTAGCCACATTGGCCAGTGACTCTCCTATGGGGAGGCACGGACCTACACGGACCTACGTTCCAGTGGAAAGTGCTGCTCTGGGGACTGAGCTCTGACCCAGGGCTCACAGGTGCCGACTCAGAGACTGACCACCCAGGGGCGCCTCGAAATCCAGGCGTCTGAGTGTGTTACTCACCTATCGCTGCAAACGTAGTGGCTGAGGACAGTCAGTCTTTATCATCTCACATGCTTTCTGTAGGTCGGGAGGTCAAGACTGACTCCGCTGGCCCTGGCCGGGTGCTCAGGTGGTTAGAGCAGCGCCCTATTGCGCCAAGATTGTGGTTTCAAACTCTGGTCAGGGCACGTACCAGAAGCAACCAATGATGCATAAACAAGTGGAGCAGCAGGTCGATATTTCTCTCTCTCTCCCTCAAATCAGTTAAAAAAAAAAAGGAGTGACTCAGCTGTGTTTTCAGGCCCAGCCTCCTGTGAGGTCGCAGTAACACGCTGCTCCCGCTGCGGTCATCTGCGCGTTGGCTGGGCTGGGGGGTGGGCTTGCCGGCGGCCCACGGACACGGCTGGAGAGTTGGCGCTGCGGGTCGGGGTGACCACTGGTCTCCATGGCCCGGGAGTAGGAGGTTTCCTGGAATGTGGGGCTTCCACGGTGGGAACTGGGACTGTCCTAGATGATGCGACGGGAGCAGTTGCTGGCAGGACTCAGTTCCTCCCGGTACCGGCCTCTTCCAGGCCCGCTGGAGGCCCCTCCCCGTGAGTGATGCGAGAGAGAGCAGGGCAGGAGCTCACTGCTTTCCCACCTGCCCAGGCCGCCCGCCCGGCATCACTCCTGCTTCCTGTTTCCATTGGAAGCGGGTCCTTACATCCTCTGGTCCTCCTCAGGAAGGGGGGTTGGGATCCAGCTTTGGGAGGGAGGATTGGGGAAGAATTCGTGGACATGTTTTAAACCCTCCACTCGCCTCTGCCTGAGATCCCGACGGGGCCCCAGAACCCGTACTTTATGGAGGTTCCCTGATGACCCCTGATCCGTCCGCAGTCAGGTTCGCCCACCACCGAGTTGCCTGGCCTCAGAGTCCCTCCCACCTGCCTCAGTGGACACTCACAGGAGGGCACAGGACAGGGCAGCTCCAGGCAGAGGAACTGTGAGCGGAGCTGATTCTGGAGCGCCGTTAGGCTGCATGGACGTCCCTCCTCACGTGGAAATGAACAACAATTGGGGAACCATTTAGGTCATCCTCTCCCGCCGGAAACATTCAATCCTCTCCCGCCGGAAACATGGGACAGTGTTACAAATGGCCATCACCAAACAACACAGCAACATGGGAGAAAAACGGAAGATTCAATACATATACGTGAGGGATGGTGAAATGTTGTAGCAATATAGCGACAAGGCCTGGAGCCGAATTTATTATACAGGAAAACAAAAAACAAAACAGAGTTGCAATGATGGTAGGTGGGCAGGGAGAGGACTGTGAGTAATTTAAGAAATGCGTGCTGGTGTCCTTTCAATAAAAGCGGGTCATTCTTTCTTCAGACCTTTCAGTGATGGCGAACCTTTTGAGCTTGGCGTGTCAGCATTTTGAAAAACCCTAACTTAGCTCTGGTGCCGTGTCACATATAGAAATGTTTTGATATTTGCAACCATAGTAAAACAAAGACTTATATTTTTTATATTGATTTTATATATTTAAATGCCATTTAACAAAGAAAAATCAACCAAAAAAATGAGTTCACGTGTCACCTCTGACACGCGTGTCATAGGTTCGCCATCACTGCCTTAGCTCAACCGTTAGTTCTGCAGCGGTTTTCCCAACCTTCTTGGTTAAGGTTGGTCCCCTCTGTATGACTTGGTATGATAGCGCCTGGTTTGTCCACACATAGCATTCGTCACATTTGCAAATATGTTGCCTCTCCCTGTAGCCTATGAGCTCCGTGAAGAAAGGTGGGACTGTGTCTGCCTTTGCCCCCATGGTCTCTCCAGGGCTAGCACAGGAGGGAGGGAGAGGGAGAGAGAGAGGGAAACATCAATGATGAGAGAGAATCATCGATCGGCTGCCTCCTGCTCATCCCCACACTGGGGATCAAGCCTGCAACCCAGGCATGTGGCCCTGAGCAGAATCAAATGGTGACCTCTTGGGTCATAGGTCAATGCTCAACCACTGAGCCACTGAGCCACGCCGGCCGGGATGGTTTCGCTTTAGACCACCCTGTGTCTCTTAAGATCTTGGCAGCTTTGGTTATTTATTTCCCCCAGAAGGCTTTGTAAGCAAGCAGCCTGTTCCATCATCTCTGGAAAATAAGGGTGTTTCCTTATCTTTGGGGAAGTCTGATGTTCGGGGTCGTGGAGAGGTCGGTGGTCCAATCCCCAGTGGCTGGGCAGGATCACGCCTAAAAGCCAGGCAGGGAGTAGCAAACTGGGTTCTCTCCTTCTTCCGATTTGCTGTGTGTGGAATTATGAGGTTTGTGTTTGGGGCTTAGGGGAGAGAAGAGGTGGGGTCCCTGATTTGGGGGAGCCTTTAGCACAGTTAAGGGGAAGCCAGCATTTCCCCGGGGGTGAGGAGGACCTGGGGAGGGGGAGGGAGGAGACAGGGCCTAACACTCTTACATAAGAGTCATGGAAGAACTTGTTTTGTAATCCCAGGGCAACAGGGCTGCTAAGTTTAGATTTTAACCTGAAACGTCTGGACTTCGAGAGGCATCTGAGGCTGCTGTGGCCTTGGGCTGTGCTGACAGGGCAGGGAGGGCTGTGTCTGCGGCTCCACACTCCCCCCTGGGCAGCTGGGGGAGACGGAGGGCAGGCGTTAGAGGGAGGAGGGACCTCATGAGTTTTAGGAGAGCTATGCCATTTCCAGAGAAAACCCTGGGGTCAGCTCTTCCTCCCTAGTCTCTCCTCCATCAGAGACCCCCGTAGCCCTGGTCTGAGTGGTTCAGTGGCTGGGAGTTGTCTGATGTGCTGGAAGGTTGTGGGCTCCATCCCCAGAAGGGGCGTGCAGGGGGCAGCCAATGATGTTTCTCTCTCTCTCTCTCTCTCTCTCTTCCTCTCTCTCTAAAAATCAATTTAAAAAATCTTAAAAAACACTTAGAAGGGAAGCCCTTCCTGCCCCAGGACAGAGGAGGCGGCACTGGCGGTGGGGCCCGTGAGGGAGCAGCCGCTCTCCAGCTCCTGGAAGGGCCTTGGGGAAGAAGTCCAGCGGGCAGCGTGGTCTCAGCCAGGGTGACAGCAGACCTTGGTCGACAGGAGAAATCAGGAGAAGACAGTCCTCACACAAGACTCGTGTGTGTGTGTGTGTGTATGTGTGTATGCGTGTGTGTGTATATGTGTGTATGTGTGTATGTGTGTGTGTATGTGTGTATGTGTGTGTATGTGTGTGTATGTGTGTGTATGTGTGTGTATGTGTGTATGTGTGTGTATGTGTGTATGTGTGTGTATGTGTGTGTGTATGTGTGTGTGTGTGTGTGTGTGTGTGTGTGTGTGGCTTCGGGCAGTGGACATTAGAGGGCGTGCAGTCCACAGACCACCCCCACTGCTGACAGGTTCGGGGGCTCCATGACCACCCTTAATTTGATAATTCACCAAGGGCCCTTAGACTCACAGTTATGGTTTATCCCAGGGGAGGAACACAGAATAGCCGGCCAGAAGCAGCAATGCCGGGCAGAGGACGGGGGTTCCACACGAGGGGCTCCCACTGTCCTCCCCAGTGGAGTCAGACAGTGTGAACTCCAGCAGTGCTGCACGACCCTCCGCCCGGCACCCCGTCAGCCGGGGCGTCACCGAGCCTTGCTGTCCAGAGGTCTGTTGGGGTCTGCAGTCAACTTTCTACGTAGCTGACACCATCAGCCTCCAGTCCCGCTGGAGGTCCAGCTGTTACTGCGTGACTCAGAGCCCCCACCCTAAATCCCAGGGTAGTTTATCCAGTATGGTCAGTCCCCACCCTAAATCATATTGTTAGTTTTTAAAGAACAGGTTTTTATTGATTCCAGAGAGAGGAAGGGAGAGGAAGAGAGAGATAGAAACTTGCATGAGAGAGAAACATCAATTGGCTGCCTCCTGCATGGCCCCCTCTGGGGATTAAGCCCGCAACCTGGGCATGTGCCCTGACCGGGAATGGAACAGGCCACCTCTTGGTGCAGGGGTCACACTCAACCACTGAGCCACCCTGCTCGGGCTCATATTGTTAGTTTACCCTGTGTGGCCAACCCTCACCCTAAAGAAAACACTCCTATCTGACATGACATTGCAAGGGCTTGGCGATCATGTTCCAGAAGCCGAGGGCAAAGGCCACACATCACCTGGGTGCGGGTAAGTGTTGGACCACACATGCAGGTTGAGCAGTCCCAGCCCGCGCCAAGCTGTGCTCTCTGCCTGCACACACCAAGGAGGACCATGTGGAGACCGACCAGGAAGGGGGTTCCCACCAAGAGCCTGGTCCTGGCCTCACACGTCCAGCCTCCAGACGACGAGACATCGATGTCTGCGTAAGCCCCGGTCTGCGGCGTCCTGTCATAGCAGCCTGAGCATAGGACCCCACCAATCATTGACAGCATTGCCTGCCAGAGGCATTAGTTTCCTGTTGCTGTTACAACAAACCAGCAGGTTTGGGCTTTAAGACAACTTAAATGTATTATTTTACCCTGGAGGTCAGCAATCCAACCAAAATCAGTCTCATGGCTAAAAGGGAGGTGTTGGCAGCGCTGGTTCCTTCTGGGGGTTCTGAGGGGAGAATCCTGTCCAGTTTCTAGGGGCCGCCTAGATGGGTGGCTCATGGCTCTTCCTCCATCGTCAAAGCCAGCAGGCTGCCTCTTCCCATCTCTCTCTCCTTTGACTCTTTCTCTTAAAGACTCTCATCATTACATGGGCTCCCCCCGGACAACCCGGCGTGATCTCTCCATCTCAAGATCCTGAACATGACCACATCTGTCATGGTGCTTTTGACATACGAGGTAACATACTTACAGGGTTGGGTGATTAGGACGTAGACATCTATGAGCGGTCATTATTCTGTCTACCATGGTTTGTCTCTCTAGTTCTTAATGTGGTGGGAGCACTAATCCTATATAATAAAGAGGTAATATGCAAATTGACCGTCACACCCTTACACAAAGGGCTCAACTTGGGTTTTTAGAAAGGTGATTGACTGCTTTCCATCTTATTAAATATCTATAATAAAATCCCATGGAAGTAAGTTAGATATAAGAAAACACTTCCTGCCCTAGCCGGTTTGGCTCAGTGGATAGAGCGTTGGCCTGTGGACTGAAGGATCCCAGGTTCGATTCCAGTAAAGGGCACATGCCTGGGTTGCAGGCTCGATCCCCTGTGGGGGACTTGCAGGAGGCAGCCGATCAATGATTCTCTCTCATCGTGGATGTTTCTATCTCTCTCTCCCTCTTCCTTCCTCTCTGAAATCAATAAAAATACATTAAAGAAAAACACTTCCCTAAAATGAAACATTCTTACACTGTTCAGCCATCCCAGTATTAAAAATAAAAGAAAGCCCGACTGGTGTGGCTCAGTGGTTGAGCATCAACCTATGAACCAGGAAGTTTCGGGCTCCGGTCCCAGTCAGGGCACATGCCCAGGTTGCAGGCTCAATCCCTTGGGTGCAAAAGGCAGCTGATCAATGATTCTCTCTCATCACTGATGTTTATATCTCTCCCTCTCCCTTCTTCTCTGGAATCAATAAAAAAATATATTTAAAACAATAAAATAAAATAAATAAAAGAAAAACATAAACTGATGAACAAGAACAGATCCAGGAACAGAGAAGCATCGATCAGATGCTCAAACCTCAGAGGGAAGGTAGGGGGGGCGGGGGTAAAAGGGGAGAGATCAACCAAAGGACTTGTATGCATGCATATAAGTGGACACAGACACGGGGCGGGGGTGAGGGCATGAACAGGGGGAGGGGGGGCAATGGGGAGATAAGGACACATATGTAATACCTTATTCAATAAAGAAAAAAATTTAAAAAAAAACACCTCATCTTTCTGGATGTTGTATCTTGTTCTGCTTGAAGGGAGGAGTTGAATGAGTTAGGATCTGGAACAAAACCTAATCCAGTCTGAACTAAGTAAAAAGGAAAAACTTCAGTGGGAAGCGCAGACAGGCATGGCTGGATTCAGAAGATGAAGTCCTCAGGACCTGGTGTCTCTCTTCTGTGGGCTGGGCTCGTTTTCATTCAATAGCCAGGGAGTCTGGCACATCTCATTGGTCCATCCCAGGAGAGTGCAGTGCTCTGATTGGTCAGGCCGAGCCAGGGGCCGTCTAAGAAAGTCAAGGATGGAGTCAGCTCCATCAAAGTGTGTGGGCTAAGAAGAGGAGAAGGGTCATTCCCCCAAAGAAAAAAATGTTAGACCTGACCTGGGTTTCTTAATTCAAATTTATAAGAGAGGATCTGATTGGCAGGTTTCAGATCAGGTGCCCACCCCCAGCCCAATCAGCTGTGGCAGAGGGAGTGGAGGTGGGGCTAGGGGTGGGGGTAGGTGAGCCTGGTGTGAAACGTTGCCTGGGCTCAGCTCTTCCATCTGGGTTGTGTGGGGAGAGGTCAACACCGGTGCCTGAGGGCTTCCTTCTTCACCATTTTCTGAGTATTACTTGTTATATGACTCATTCTAAACTCACAACAACCCTCCGAAGTTAAGCTGAGGCCTGTTGCCCAGGGTCACACAGCCAGTGACTCAAAGGGTGCTCTGGTGATTAATCTGGAAGCGACTCCCAGTGGAGTCTCAGAAGGAAGTAGAGCGGGTGGGCAGGGGAACTCTCCCATGTTGGGGTCCTGAAAGGGGGTTTGGCAGGGCGGTGCTGGAGGGGAGGGAGCGCCTTGACCATTTGGTTCAAGCGCCACACCCGGCTTCAGGGAGCCAGGGCATGGCATCTGCTCCTAGCTCGGCTGGAGTGAGGTTGCTAGAGCTCCATTGTCCCTCAGAGCCGCCCGGCCCTGCCCTGCCTCCTTGAAGTCCTGGGTGACTCAGCACTTTCTCTGCCTGACCCTCTCCAGGAGCCGGCCTTTGTGTGCCGGGTGGGGAAGGCCAGTTGGGAAGCCCAGAGTCCCTAGTCATCCATGGAGCAGCTCATGGGCCTGGGGAGAATTGGTCCTTCACTCTTGAGGATGTCAGGGGGTTTAAGGACTCCTCACATTTTCAATCAGACCTGAGCCTCCCACAGGGCCCAGGGAACCCTGTCTGCACCCCCACCCCCCACTCCCCAATAAGCCCCATTCCTCAACACCCTGTCCGCCACTGGAACACCAGTCGCTGCTTTCCAGCAGCCAGCCCCATGGCCTCTTCGCCCGCCCAGCTGCCTACTCCTTTAATATGTGCCACAGCTGGTTGTGAGCTCTTGTCTTTTTCTGTTTCTGTGGTTCCGAGCCTCCTCTACCGGGTCTGAGTCACCTCAAGCCTCGGAAAACGTTGGCTGAAGGAGAAGGATATGCAGAATCTTTATTCAGCCATGAATTCACTTCTGGAAGTTGGCTTGGAAAAGTCAGCTTGGAGTGGGCCTTGTGGGGGATGCCGCTGATACTCCGTGGTGATCGAGGCCACCAGCCTAGGCCTAGCGTGGTGACTCCAGACTCTTTTTGTTTTTAAAAATCTTTATTGTTGAAAGTATTACGTATGTCCCCCTCCCCCCTCCCCATAGACCTCTCCCAGCCCGCCCCTCACCCCAGGCCGTCACCACATTATTGTCTGTGTCCCTGGGTTATGCATACAAGTTCATTGATTGATCTCTCCTCCCTCCCTCCCCCGCCTTCCCTCTGAGGTATGACAGTCTGTGCAATTGCTTCTATGTCTCTGGATCTATTTTTGTTCACAATTTATGTTGTTCATTAGATTCCACATATGAGTGAGATCATATGATAGACTCCAGACTCTGCAACCCAGCTCCGCGGGGAGAGTCCGGTTCCCCGAAGCCCCCCTCCCCTTCAGTCCCCACCCCCAGCCTACCGCTAGCGGGAACCAGCGGTACCTCGGCGCGCGGTGCGACCCGATTAGACCCTCTTGCAGAATGCAATCTTTTCACTTCTCAAATGCTCCAGAAATAGCTGCTAGCAGCTTGATGCCGGGGAAGACTGCTAAT